AAAAAAAAAAAAAAAAAAAATAGAATTGACTAATAACGTTTCAACGTTTTCTGATTAAAATTGAATAAAAATTTTGTCTTACCTGCATAAACAATCGAGGCAAGGACGCTTCTTTCGTTTGGCGGAGCCCACTTGGCAACCATAACGTGCATTGCCGGAAATGTTACACCCTGCAGTTTTGAAATGCTGTCATAATGTTTCTTATTTTTAATTCGAATACTCAGTTCGAGCATTTCTGCAATTTCTCAAATACTAACACCACCTATCCCTTGGACGAATCTCATCAGGATAAAAAGAGAATAATGCATGTTGGCAGCAACAGGTGATAATATAGATGCCACGAGATTTAGAAGTACGGATCCATTCATCACCCATTTGGCAGATAACAGGTCAGCCATTCTTCCACCCGGAATTAAGGATACCATGTACCCCCAAAAGTACGACGATAAAATAAGACCTTGTAATGGTTCGTTCCACACGAATGGGCCATCCTACATGTATGTACGAGTAGCGAATATCTTTTCAATAAAAAATTTCTATTTATTGCAAATAAGTGTGTTGAGAAAACAGGGAATATTTGTTGGAAGGCAAATTCTTTTATTTCATAAGTAGGCTAACAGTACAGTAATTATAAAATTTAAATCGTTATTTGTTGTAAAACTACCAATAATAACGTACCTCGGTGACAGTTTTGGTTGCATTGGAAAGAGCACTGTCGTAGTGGCACTCGTTCAGGCTAATTGCAGTCGTATTCTCAGTTTCTAATTGATGCAGCGTGGATAACTTTACAGCAGTGTGGTTCACCATAGCTACGATAGCCACGCTTACGTTTACCTTGAAGCCGTAGATGATGGCGAGCCCGATAGAACCCATAATTGCCATCAGATATCGTATAGGAAACATAATGTTTCCTATAAATAAAATAGTAACGTATTTTTAGATGTAGATTTAGATATAGATTAGATATTTTTAGATATGATTAATGATTGGCAATACGATATCGTAGGGAAAATCGTGAATAGAACACGTGTCGTTTGGCACGAAATACAGGTGGAACGTGTTTTCAGGTCTTCGACTTCTTCAGACCGTGCGGTTGTTACACGCTTTTA